GCTTCATTAGTTCTGAGCAAAACAAGTTGCAAAAAGTCAGTCTACATTTAGAGCGGAAATTGACTTCCGCAAGAATGAAAGCTGTTTTTATCTCTACCAAATCATGCAAACTGGATTTTTTTTTAAAATAAAGTTGTAGACCGACGTCTGATCTACAATTTAGCCACTCCAAAAATTTCTTCAGTGACGGACTTTTGGGAAAAACTGTAAGAGAAGGTCGGCCTACAAAAAACGGAAAAGATGCTTGTAAAATGATTATATCGAAAGAACAACAAAAAAAGTAAACAAAGTTGAACACTAATCATATGGTTACATTCACAATTCAATTCTCTACAGGATGCGCTGCTTTTCTTTTCTTTTCATATCTTTTTATATAATCAAAAATTCAGCTTTCAGATGATGAGTCATCAGAAAATTAAGTTTTTTCAACTTTCGAGTCCCATAACTTTGCAACGAAAAGACTTATCGAGTAGAAAATTTTTGTGAAAGTGGGTAAATTACTAGGTAAAGCACAGGAAAAAGTTTGCTCAAGCGAGCCTCTTGTAACCTGAGTTATTATAGAAACATATCTAAACAAGTGATTGTACTAGAAAGTTATGTTTCTCTCATATATATAATATATATATAATAATATAGTTCTTACGATAAAACTTAGAATTTTTTTCTTTTTTCGTCTTCAAACATCAGCTGAGCGTAAATAAAGTGCATGGCTATAACCCTTTCAGGACCGGTTTAATTTTTATATATACAGTGCTGTTCAAAAGTTTAAGACCTTTTTTATTTTGGAATATCTCGGCTTCCCTGACAGATAGAGACTTCATCCTTTCGTCAAAAGAAAGGTATCGCTAAACTCTACGATATGCGAAAATATCGTTAAGTTTCAACTTATTTTGGCGCAGTTAGGTAGAAAACAGTATTTTCCTAAAAAAAACGGAAAAAACGCATCTTCAGTATTTCGTATTTCGTTCGTCAAAAACTGCATAAGATGATGTATTTGAAATTTGATTATGATCGAATTTTGAGGGACGTTTCTTAAAGAGAAAGTTTTGAAAAACACGGCTTATTCCGATTGACGTGTAGCAATTTTGCTACTATGGGGCTCAAAGGGATAAGGAACATGGTTAAACACGATTCTAAGGATGCTTATGTCCTACCTATGTCAGAAAATATTATGAATAGAGAAAGATACTTTTTAAGAGGGTCTAAAGGAAATTTATCGAACACAATCAAGCATATAATCTTATAAGATCTGATGAATTACGTGATCTGACAATAAAACTAATATTAATTAGACGAAAGCAAAGCTATCATTCGAATAATTCCAGACCGTCAAGCGCCTATATACGGTATGCTTACGGTCATTTACAGTGCATATAGGGCTATATATGATGATCTTATTTAAGCCGTAAACACGCGTATATGGTATGGCGTAAATACAGTCGTAAAACACCGGCCTGGTTTACGGTTAAATACGGTGCGTAAACGGCCCGTATTTAATCGTTTACGACCATAAAGACGGCGTATTCGAATCGTACACGGTCGTATACGACCCGTATACAATAACCGTGCCAAACCGCCTGGATTATAATGATATATTAAATCGTCACGATAGAGTCAGTGAGAGCACTATCTCTTTAACTACGTGACCTTTCCTGGTTATTTTTGCCTACTAATGAATAAAAATACAATTATGGTATACTCTAACACTTGAGGATGAGAGCGCTATACTTGCACACTGAACAAAAGCTACGGCGACATCTCTCGAACATACAGGTTTGTTTATAGAATAGCATAGAGGTACTGCTTAGCAATTTTCTGACATCATTCTGAAAAGTGGGATATTGCTGATCTAGAATCACTGCGACAGTGTAAAAGATTTCTCACTAAAGCTTAGGAAGCGAACTAAAATGACAAACCCAAGAGCATCAGGCCATTTACCTTTGAAAACGCCGATGACAAGCAAATGGAAGACTCAGTACGTTAAAGAAAATGCTTACAATGCACAAATCTTTATTATTGTAGTTTTGAGAAATAAAACTTTGTTTAATAAAATGGCGTTTGTTTAGAGCACCAAACAGTGATCTATTGGAGAGACAGACACGAGCATTGGAAGAAAGTCTGAACAAACTGAAGATAGCGATGAATCCTGATAAATCGAAGCCAGCGTATGTAGACTTTTCATTATCAGTATCGCTCATAATTATGTTTACATAAAAAGTATTTTTTAGCACTGAATCAAGTACTTCAATTTGGAACAAAGGAAAAAGTGGTCCTATTACTCAATATGCAAATTATGTACTTCGAGACGATGGCTCACGAAGACTTTTTGACGTAAGACGCTTACTGGATTAGACGTGAAATAGTGTATGTAATTAGTAGCTTTTCATGTTTTAGACTAAGCAACCCAAAGTGAGAATCTTAGGCGATGAACCGGCAGGTAATTTATCACAAAACACAAAGAAAAGACTTGATTAATGCGATTTTTCTGATATTATAGTACCAGTTCTTCGCCCGTCCTTGGTTGCAAATTTATATAATGTTAAACCGAATTCAAATACACACCAAAAGATTGCCAAATGTGGTCAATGTGAGAAAGTCGAAGCGAAAATGGCAAGTAGAGAGGCGAATTTCAAAATTCATCATACTAATATTCAGTTGATTCTATTTAGAAATGTTTAGAATGTGGTGAATGCTATTGTGCAGCTTGTTTCAGTGCTTTTCATCTCAAAGGTGCCTTGCAAAGACATCGATATGTGCCATTAAATGACAGTAGACCATCAACGCCTAAAAGAACGCCAAATATAAACAAAAAACCACCGTGAGTCTTTACTTATAAACATCGATTTCGAAGAAATTTTGTTTTTAATATAGAGTTGGGGCTGATGTTGTCTTTAATGAATTACGCCAAGTTAAAAACATCGAAGATAATTTAATGAATTCTTTATATGAATCTACTCGAAATGACGAAGTTGATAATGATGATCATACCGTGTATAGTGACGATGAGATAAGCGACAACAACAGTGCAAGATACGGTGGCGGTGCATTACTGGAGGGAACTTATAATGAAAAGAATAGCGCTGCTTCGTTTCAGCAAGCATTATTGCAGTGGAGAAATACTAATACTACTACTAGTAACAGTAATAATAAAAAGCCTTCAAGAAAAACACAAATAAAATCAAAAACTTTGAAAAAAAGTGAGCTGTTAATTCTCACAGATTTTATCGCTATGCAAGGAACAGTTATTTTTAGATGTACATGCCTATGCGGTTACCGTTGATAGTACTCAAACGCCAAATGAAAATCAACAACCGATGGTATCGACCATTGAATTTCATACAACCAAGCTAACCTATGCTGAAAAACTTTTATTGAAAAAATATCGTCGTACAACAAAAAACGAAGGTACGAACGATCAACATTTTCTTTGAAACTTCACCTGATTCATGTACGTTTGTTTCTGATCATAGAATTTTTCGTTCAACGACCATCATCAAAATTATCAAAAAACGATTCTGCAAGATTCGCTATTCTTGAGGATGAATGTAAACTTTCTAAACTGTATGTTTTTACATTGTATTCTTAGCATAGAATATTTGATTTTAGCTGAGAATACGATCGAGAATGATTTACATGTTCCAGTTATTAAAAATAATAAGCCAACTGAGAAAGATCTAAATGTTTCACAATCACAACTGAATGTCAAAAACAATTATTTCGGTTTAACTAATCCAAATAATAAAATCAAGGTATGATGATCAGTCTAAGCAATGTCTTATATGTTTCACGTACTGTTTGTGACTTAGGAGTTGTACAATGATATCAAAGTACCAGATCAAAATGAGTTTAGCACATCGAATGACAGGTTAGTAAAAAATTATTACAGAAATCAAGAAATCAATTTGTTTTTTTATATGAGACCATCTCATATTAAAATCAGTAGATGAAATAACTAAAACATATCGGCTTTAAAAATAACTAATTTGCAAAATTACTTGCATTTATTTTTAATGCATATTAGTGTACAACCATTAAAAAAGAATAAAGATAATGCGAAATTAGTTGACCATGATCATGATGAAATGCTGACGCAACGTACTTCAAGACCCACAAGTCGTGCCAAATTATCTTCTAGACCAAACAGCGCTGTTAAGAAAATGCCTTCACGACCTAGTTCGGCTTTATTTCAACATCCATTGTGAGTTTCATCCAACAAATTGTCTTATAAATGTTATTTTACAAAAGTATCTTATATTTTCGGTTATCTTTATCTTCTTTTCTTTAGACCATCGATGCTAAGCATAAATCCTAGTGAAGATTTGTTGGAGATTACTTCACACTCATCGAATAACAGCAAAGATATTCCCAGCAGACCATCATCGGCAGCCTTGAAAAAACCAACGAAAATTGATTATAAAATTCAATCGATTTGGAATCGTAATTGGAAACCGGAGAATAGTCTTAGTGACGGTGTCGATCTATTTTCAGTCAAACCAGATGAAATATCTATGATGCAGTTTGATCTAGCTTTGAAAGACTTGCTTGATGAAACAAAAATTGAAGCAACTGAAGTTTTATCAAATCGACCTAGTTCTTCTGTATCCGATCTGAACAGACCGCTTAACTTCCACTCATCAAGCAAGGACTCAAATTATGTGACGCAATCTTTTCAGCTCAATCCACAAACACCAATTACGGAAACTGAAAAAACAATAGACGATGCAACGAAATCTGCTCGGAATAGTGCACGTAGCACCGATTCAAAAAAATATCAGATTGATTTTACACAAACAAAATCAAGTCCAATACATACAGTGAGTCGAAATAAGGACGAACGTCAGAGTGACATTACTCACGCAATTCCAACGATACTCGATCATAAGACAGACAATCGAAGTTCATCTCAGTTTGAGGCTGCATCCAGACCACACAGTGGGAGGTCCATTGGTTCAACAAAAGCATTTGATCACTCTCGTCCGGCATCTTCTTCGTCGGAACTTTCAGGTTTTTCAAAACTATTGTCATCGTTGCCGATGAAAGACGATGGCGGTTCTGAAACACCAAAAGCATCCATTGAGAATCAAAACACTATATCACCAAGATCCACTCCAACACCACGAAACTTTCCATTCGACTTCAATATCACAAAAACTCACCATGCTTCACCAAGATCAAGAAATAGTAAAACGCCCACTATCACCAGAGAAGATTCGGAAGATAATGGATTTTTTACAGATTTACCAAGACAAAATATTGTAAAAGAAGTAAAATTAACACCAGAAAAATCTTCAACATCGAATGAAAATAGCTCAGTATTGCCATCAACAGAATGGAAACAAACTTTAACTAATCGAAGCGGTAATAACAATACAGAATATGTTATTCCAAATTTATTATTAAAAAAATCAACAGACTACACCCAACCCAAAACGACCCCACGCCTCTCGCAAACAAAACGGTCAATAACATTAGATGAAACAAATAAAAAAACAACAACAATTGATGACTACACGTTCTCAAGACCGACATCGTCGTTATCTTCTGCATCATTACCAGTTTCAATTATTTCATCAAAACCTGAACTGATAACAAAGCCCTCAATTGAAGCCAATCCCCATAGACGTGCTGTTGTCCATCGAACAGTAACGAACCCAACGACGAACGATAACCATACAACGGTAACAACAACAGCGAAAAAGTTTCGAATAGACTTTAATCAACAGAATTCAAAGGAAATATTGTCCGTACCATCATCGAACTCAAAGAAAATATCCACAACCAACGCTAATACACATATACCACAGTCAGTAAATCCACAAATGGTAGTTGAAGGCAAAAAAGTATCATCTAGTAGTGAAAAACCGGTATTATCAGCAAGAATATCGAATATAGATGGGGGAGATTTTGTTAGTTCATCAACCAACTCATTAAATGCTAATAAACTCAAATCATCAATCACATCATCGACACGTAGTATAAAGCATTCTGGAAGTGATTCAGTGAGAGACAGCAATGCTAATGTAAATGAACAACAATTGAAACGATTACATCCAATCGTTAATGGTAGCGTAAGCAGTACGTTAACATCAATTACACGTGATGAAAATAATATTCGGGACAGTGTGGCAATACGAGACAGTTTATTAGTACTAGATAAAGATAATGCAGCAGCAGCAAAAAATTCAATTAGTGATAGCAATTTTGTAACTACTAGCCAATCTCTTCGACCGAGAAAACTTGAATTTACTCTGGGTGATGGTGCAAGATGGAAGGAATCATCTATCGAGTAAGATTTTCAATAATATTCTTCTTTGAATAATTGAGTTAACTCTAGATGCTTTCAGTTCGTCGTCTACTCACCAAAAAACTTCGATCAATCAAAAAGTAAATTCATCGTCAAATGACTTAACGAGACCTCTATCAAGACAGTTATCTCGTTGTAACACACCATCAAGCAAAACAAACGCAAGTAAGTGGTAACTGTTTCATTCGTTCGTAATTTGTATAAAACTAACCGTGGTGACTTTTGAAAACGCTTTCATTTTCAATATAGAACTTGCTGAACAATACGTTCAATATGAGGACGATGGTCGTAGCTCAAGATTATGTCAAGATGTTGAGGACGAGCAATGCTTTAACCAGTTGAGAGAAGAACTTTGTTCTCAATGTAAGTTTAAAAAAACTGAGATGAATTCATAAATTCGTTCTTGGTTTTTGTGTTTATTCTAGTGGGCTCGGTAAGTCCGGGTTGGGACGCTAGTTTAAGCGAACATGTACTAAAAAACTTACGTACGATAGTATTTAGTGAAAAAGATTTACAAGATAATTTAGAAATGCTTGAAGCAAAACTACGGTATTCATTCTATTTTAAGTTTGCTCTTTGCTAATTCATTCAGTAATTTGTCTGTGTTTAGAGAAACAGAATCTGTCCAAAGATCAGAAACGAATGAAGATGACTTTATGTCCTATGAAGAAATACGCAATCTATAATACGTTTCGTTTGTCTTACATTGTACTTTTCAGCGTGTACTATCATGTCTGTGATGTTAACACTTCGAACCAGTATATAATAATTTTGCTTCGCTTTTCTTATACTAAACTTTTCATTTTTTATTGTATAAGTTGCTGTTCTGGTGCATTGAGCCATTTTTTTCTGAATTTCTATTAAATGAAATCTTTTTTAAACTTAATTTTCTACATATATACTATTTTCCAATGTAATTTTAGTGTTCGTTTGAATGTTGTTGTAAGTTGTTTTGAGCATACAAGATATTCTAATAAGAAAATTATCATATAGGCATGAAAAAATGAACACGTATATTTGATTCTGCCAATCCTCTCCTTATGATCACCATACGGTTATTTTGTAAAAACTCAATAATAAAATAAACATGCAAATGTATAGCACAGAATGACTGCTATGGCAATCGATACTACTATTGGCTATACCTAAAGTTTTTCAAGACTTTAAAAATGTTTTCTAGAAGGCTTAATAAAGTAGGTTTTTGGAAAACGTTCTATATCGAGATACTGTTTGCGAGTGAAATTTCTGACATATAGCGTTTTTGTCTTTCCCCAAAACTGTCGCATAGACAGATTCTGAAGAGCTCAGATTGGTTTTAATATGACGCTAATACATATATTTAGAGAAGGCAAAAGCCCAATTTTTGTACGTAAAAATACAAGTGCCCGGAGCACTTGATTTTTTACACAGTGTAGGTTTAGGAAGATTTCTAAAAGGAGTTACTGTCTGTTTTTGAGTTTTTTTACTTTCATGATCTACCATTGGTTTACAAAGTAAAATAGTAAAAACTAAGTTGTGCCTGATTTCAAGTATATTTATCAACTTCATTTTAAAGTCACTCCAAGATCTCTAACATCTATCTAGACAGAAATTTTTAGAAATTACAAATAGACCGATGTTAACACACGTTTAGGCGATACCTCATGAATGCTGATTGCTGGAAACTCAAAACTTCTATTGTAACGACGCTTCAGTACGATGAACATCTCATGAAGGTCTCCCTCAGATCGGTTTTATTTTTATTAAGATAAGTTTCTAACAGAAAAATGAGTGACGCAGTTCTGAATATAACGGGTGGCCCAGAGCATAGATGTAACCGATCAAGATTTTCTCGACCGAGATGGTAATTAGTCTAAAAGTTTCTGACCGGGTCGGGCCGGCCGGTCACATATTTTCTTTTGGCTTCCGTCCATAGCACCCGAACCATGGATTTTCAAGATGTCGTTTAGATCCAATTTTGTCGAGAACACTTCAGGCTATATATCTATGAAAAAGGTCCATAGCCAGTTTTGAGAGAACCGGACTGATTTTTTACAGATCTCCTGAGAAATCGGTCTTAGAAATTTTTTCCAAATTTGGTTTTGCTTATGACAACATAGCTTCAGATCTTGGCTAGCGAATGATGAAATCCGCAAATATCTATCTTTTATTCCTTTTGAGTTATTCAGAAAATAACTACCGGACTTGTATTTTGGTGCCGATGGTAGTGCAACAAACATTAAAAAAGAAAACGAACGGAATATTCACATGATAGAGATTAACAGTCCTGTTCCCGAAGACTGTTGACAAAAAAGAAAAAACCAAACCAACTTTTTTAATCTGAAATATGAAAACGTTTGTTTTACTTAGCTCAACAAATTCGTTTTCGACAAAGTAAATGGCATTATTTCTTCAACAAAAAAGCTAGATACGTTTACAAGAGACATGTACTATTTTCAATGGTCTGATTTCCAAAGCCAAGCTCAATCAAATTTTGAGTTTCAATCCAATTAAACATCGTTTTCATATTCAGCTTTTAATGCTGAATCTGGAAAATATAGTTTAGAAATTGAAAAAGAGCTGTGAATCGAAAAAACTTTTTTTAGAAAATGAATGGTTTTTCGAAAAAATGGGTTCTTCAAGTATTTCAAATTTTTCGGTCGTAAAAATTTTTTTCAAAAGTTAAAAGCCACTTTTTCTTACTCAGCTCATCACGCTCTATCCAACCATGTATGAATTAATCAGAAAAATTCTTCTACTTGAAGTTCAAATTGCCTACACCTTACTGATTTTTCAGACGAAAAACAATTTTTTTTTCGACCGGTCAAAAATTGCTGACCGGCCGGTTGTAGGTATCGGTTACATCTCTGACCCAGAATAAACGGGCCACTTTTGTTCTTTGTTTCTGAGACACTTTCCAATAGTCCAAAGAGTTGGTTCTAGGCTCATTCGATAGAGAACGGAATTCTCTACAAACCTGCTATTTAAATCTCTAATAGCATTTTTCTCGTTTGAACACTGAGTTGTCGAACTGCGACGTGCTTTTGTCGTCTCCTTTTTTGAGATTTTTAGCCCATTGTCTGGGGTTCAATAGTTAATTTTTCTACGCACAAAGATAGAGAATTTTATGCTCTATCGATCTCTCTCATTCACAACTTCATCGAATGTTTCTGCTGCGTCAGCTGGACTCATAATTAGTTCTCAACTGGCTTTTCAATTTTTTCAAATTAAATTAATTTTGTTAATTAATCAAAAGATGCAAAATTTAATTCTTTGTAAAATAATAAGACTCAAACCTTGGATTCAGAACGTTTTCTGCTTTTACAGTTAAAAAACTAAAGTTAGATTCAAAAGTTAGGTTTTTTTGGGTTTATCAGTTTTTTACACCGAGAAATTTTCCTAGAAGACTTAACTGCAAAATTTCGAACAAGATGTGAGAGGATGCAGAATTTTCCGGTGAGTCATCTGATATTTTCAAAATTCTTATGGAATCTATTTTTGGATCAAGGCCGATATTTTTCTATTTTCAGTGGGTCGCAGTTCGACAACTCATCATTATTCATTATTTTGAATCAAACGAGAACAGTGCTATTAGAGATTTGAATAACAGGTTTGTAGAGAATTCCATTCTCTATCGAAGAGCCTAGACTCATCTCTTTGGACTACTGAGAAGTGTCTGAAAAACAAAGAAAAAAATGGCTGATTTATTCTGGGTCACTCGTTATTAGTGTTTTCTGTATGGTTTTTGAACATATCTGGATTGCATGAGAGAAAGAGTTTATTCACATGCAAAAAAAGGTGAAAACATTTGACTAATTGTGTATCGTGTTGTGCTCGTGACTCTCTATAATCTTACCATTTCCGACATCTTTATTGTTCTCACATTCTTCGATAAATAAATTTCAGTTTTTTTTTTATAAATCTTGTGATGTGACACAATATATACGATATACTGAATATTAAAAATGAAACTGATATGATTTCTTCTTCAATTTCTGTTTATGTGTAAGAAACCTATAAAAACGTATTTTCTTCGTGCCACTTGTCATTACTAAAATTAAACATTATAGAGCTTCATTTTGTTTCATTATCAAAGAAGTATAATTTTCTACCTTTTCGAAAGGAAGAAAACGAAGAAACTTCTAATATTATTTGAAAAAAAACAACTGGTTCACACCGTCTGTGCTAAAGAAGAGCAATTTTTCTAATAAGCTAAAATTTCCGAATCATTATTAGTTGGTTCTTTCTTCTTACAACTTTATAAATTTATCATGTCTCGTAACACAACTCGTGAAAATACACCCTCTTTACGTAGTACACCTGTTAAAGGTTCGTATTTTCGCTCTAAAACAAACAATATTGGGAAAGAATTTGTAAGTAAACATTAGATGAACATATTATGATGTGTCGGGTAAAATGTGTTCATCTACTATAGTCGTATCAAAAGTTGCGTCGTTTCTTTAAAAGTATTCGCTATGCAATTCGTTTATGTCTTATGGTAAAAAAGAATGCAATTGAGTCACGGCAAGTTAAAGAACAACTGTTTATGAACAAAGAAATTTTGTTTGATCTCAGTCAATACCGACGACCAGTTGAAGTAAAACACGTCTAATTAAGTACATCATATATCAAAGATCATTTTATTATTTGATTTTTCAGGAAACTATTGGAAGAAATGTACGTAAGATACTCAAATCTTATGCTTCTCTGCGAACAGACGAAGATGTTAGAATGGTTGTACTATCATTGGGTCAGACTGTGTCATCATTCACAGGTATTCATGACGAAAATGAGATAGGCTATGTTTAAAAGAAAATTTTATAAAATTAGAGTTTCCATTGGCCAGACAATATTCTATTGCTCGTGTGGCCAGATTAGAAGAATTTGATGCTGGCAGAGTAATTATTCGCGAAGGTCATCGAGCCGAAAAATTTTATTTGATTGTTGATGGAATAACAGATGTTTATAAAGTTCGACAAAATCCCGTAACAGGTGAAGTCAGTTCAAGACTTGTGGCAGTATTGAAAAAAGGCAGTAGTTTTGGTGTAAGTATTTAGTCGAATAAATGATGACAAAAACAAATTTTTTTGTTTGTGATTAATAGGAAATTGCTTTGATGAATTCGAAACGCCGAACAGCAACTGTTGTATGTCAAACCGATGTTAGTATGTTAGCTATTGAACAAGAAGATTTTATTAAAATATTTATGAATAATGACAAAGAAGTAGAACCAGATTTTATTACATTTTTAAGAACTATACCAGAAGTACGTTGATTGATTGAATCTGTCATCTTTCTATTACAACATCAAAAATTTTAGTTTTATGGTTTTCCGATAGAGAAACTTCCACACAACAATCCGTTTGTATGTCATGTTGTTTATTATCGGTAAGTCTAATACTGTCTGTTTAATTAAAATCTACTTAATTTTTATTCTAATAAGAATGGGAACTCTAATGTCAAAAGATAGCAATGAAGATGAATGGATCTACGTTATTCGAACGGGAGTATGTCGTGTTATTAAATCATTAAATCAAGTGAGACCAAAATTACGAACAAAGAAAAAAGCACGTGTTATTTATGATCATTTTGGTTTGTATATCACACTTTTGATTATGTTTTCTCTAACATTTACGTATGTTAAAGATAAACCACGTCAATCTCATTATGGTATGGATGCAATAGAAACATTCAATCGAGAAGTAAG